GTGTTAAATCACATTTTTCGGGGTTTGATCTGTAAAATTAATTTCGGAAAACTCACAATTCCCTGTTTTCGCTTGTCGACACCCATTTGTCAATTGATTTAAAGTTTAATTCAATGTTTTTTAACCACTTTCTTTTTTGCTGTGGAAGTTTAGATAGCTTGGAAGTAAAGGCATCTGCCTATATAGTATACTATATATTATGCAATATTAAAATTATTTAATAACGCTCGTATGGGCGTATTTAATCTAAGTAATATTTTTTTCTCATCGTTGTTAGAATTTGTTTCATTGTCTATCTCACTAGCGTTCATTTTTCTTTGCACTTTCTTATATCGTCGTTTTGGGTTTATTCTTGCCCGTTGAAAGTACTTATCACAGTGGCTAAAAGTTTCAGATTCTTTAAGCGATCGACCACTTTTTCAATACTTGAGTATTTCGCTTGATATTATTATTATTAACAGTTAGAACAAACAAAAAAGAGAACAACACTTATGTTTATTAAAATTGATTATTAACAAATACGTAATGCTGCATTTTAAATAAGCCCAGTGACGTCTTTTCTAGGGGAATACTAGGGTTAGTGAATAATCAATATCATCAATATCTTGTAAATAAAATAGGCGTTAAGACGAGTCGTGAAATCTCGCGAATGGTGTTGTAAACTTAATTAAATTTTAATACTAAAATAAATACTTTACAAAAATATTATTGTTTAGTAATTACAAAAATTGCAATATATCGTAATTAAATAATTTTGTCATTGATACAGTTTTGATGTAATGCCTTTTATTGCGCGTACACATAACAAAAATAGAATTAGTTTTGATTTTTAGCTTTTATAATATCTAAATTTAATTATGTTTACAATGTTACTCGTGGAACAATTATTGGAATTGGATCATGAGATATTACAATTCGTCACTAATACGTACCTGCTTTTGTCATAATCCCTTAAGATCCGAAATTTTAATTTCAAAACATGTTACTCATCTATTATATAGACAGCATTAAGGTATATTATAAAGAAATGTTATTTGCCGTTTGGATATTACGTGGATCTAAGTACACTCTACCCACGTTATATCGTAAGGAAATTACACCCGTTATAATAAATATCTACTATAGCAAATATAGTATAGCATATATAGTATAATAACAATGATTTTAAAATTTTCTCCGTTATGTTAAGAAATCCGCTTTAACGGAGTCCATTAGAATGAGGGTAAAATGTATGTACTATTAATTTTGTTGTTAGGATTAACTAATTTGAATAGACAAAAATGATTAAAGTTTTAACAAGGCAATTATATCCAAATATGAAAAATATGATTCAGATATCCGATCTTGATTGTAAACATTTCATAATAGTTAAGAGCTTAATACCATTGTAATATTCTTTTTGCTTTAATTGCATGCCACAATGATATTTGCGGTATTATCATTTCATTTTTCTAAAATGAATTCAACAAACTCTTTCGTTTGTCTTTGGCAATCACTAAATTATAAACACGCAAAAAAATAGATATATGTAGAAGCCTAGATCAGAGCAATTGTAAAAAATCAAAGCATTTGTAAAAAATCAGAGCAATTGTAAAAAATCAAAGCATTTGTAAAAAATCAGAGCAATTGTAAAAAATCAAAGCATTTGTAAAAAATCAGAGCAATTGTAAAAAATCAAGGCATTTGTAAAAAATCAGAGCAATTGTAAAAAATCGGATCAATTATAAAAAATCGAAGCAATAGTAAAAAATCGGAGCAATTGTAAAAATATTGAGAATCAAATTTTCTGATATTCTTGTTCATAAAACTGATCATGAAAATTATACATATATAACAACAAAAAAATGGCTAAACTTTGAAAAAATAGTTAGTTACAACGTATTCCATTTATCTACCTGTTTTGATAGTTATTAAGTTAAAAATACGTTTTTTTTTGAAAATTTATTTAGTATCCATTATCTTGACAAATTCTTCATAATTGATTTGTCCGTCACCATCAACATCGGCTTCACGGAACTATGCAAATCAATGCAAATCAATATTATGTTGGATGATTAAATAATATCCAAAGGGACATCTATATAACTGAGGTAATCTTATTAAAATGATTAAGACTTACCATTTCATCAATTTCCCCTGCCGTAAGCTGTTCTCCAAGGCTGTTCATTAAGTCTCTCAATTCAGCTTTAGAAATGAACCCGTTGTTATCTTTATCAAAAACCTTGAAGGCTGCTCTCATCTCTTCCTCATTATCAGCATCATCCATCTTAAGAACCATCATACTTAGGAATTCATTAAAGTCAATTGTACCATTCTTATCGATATCAACTTCGTTCATCATCTCTTGTAACTCGGCTTCGGTGGGATTTTGACCAAGAGACTTCATAACACTCTTAAGTTCATGAATTGTAATAACTCCATCTTTATCTTTATCAAATAGTGTAAATGCCTCTTTATATTCGGCACGTTGTTGCTCAGTCAATTGGTCCTATCATTATTAAATTATTAAAATAGTTAAGAATGCTGAAGTTGACGAAAAATTATCTGATGATGTGAATCGGTCCCACTGAAAATTATAAAAAATTGTCATTTTAAATTAATCCTTGGTTAATAAGTAAAGTTGCTGAAAATTAAATCTTTTATAACTAATTATATTTAATATAGGTTGTTAACGCTTGTATTTGTTTTCAAACAATTTAAATAGGACTGATTAATTAAATTTTCTTCTCACTATTCGATCCCATTTAAACTACTCGAAAAAACAAATTAATAAACTTCTGTTAAATATAGTTAATTTTCTAAACTTTATTTGTTAACCAAAGACTAAATTAAGATGCCAATTGTTGTTAAAATGTGCTCAAAATCGGTTCACACTTGTTGCAGGTCCGATTCATATTTCTAAAATTATGTTTCGTTTATCAGTAAACATTTTTAAGCGTTTACACTTCAACAAATGTTTTCTATCATGTGTAAACGCTCAAAACGTTTGTCAACAACTTACCATAGCAAAAACTGTTCAAAGTCGTTATAGGAAGAAAAATTTGATAAATGTGTTATGTCAAACTCTTAGTTGCGACAAAATCCCCAAAAGTTAGCTTTTTTGTATTGTGTTGCGATGAGTTTTTGGCGGGTATGGTTAGATCTTACGACTATTTTTGTCATTGTAGCGCCATTGTGCAGAAGATCTACAGCAAACATTTGACAAAAAAGTTTCTAGAAATTCCAGGAAAGGAAATTTTCATCGGTTTTACTTTTACGTATTAATTACGTAGTAGTAAAACTGAAAAAAAGGAAAAATGAATACAGTACGCATATAATTACGTAGTAGTAAAACTGAAAAAAGGAAAAATGAATACAGTACGTACTACGCACTAGTGACGCCTGACGAAACCATGTGATGCTAATTGTCACATGCTACGATATATAAAATTTAACAATTAATTCTAATTTTTATAAGTAATAACATGTGACAATTAGCATCACATGGTTTCGTCAGGCATCTATACTACGCACGCATGAGATAGAAATTTGGATAGAAATTAAAAGAAGCAATTACAATCAGTGTTGGCTTATGACCAATTATGACCTATTTACTAATAATGGATTATGACCTTATGACCTATTATACCGCCTTAGTCATATAAAGTTAGACCAACACTGATTAGCACTTCAATTTTTAATTGACGTTTTACTTAGACTTGTAAATGTGTTTCTGCGTTTTATGTATTTTTTCTTTTCGAATCTTTTCGCATCTTTTATAGGGCAGATGAACTTAATAATCGCTGATCATTAAAGGCTATAATAAAAAATCGTAGCGAAAAAATTAAACAATAATTTCTAAATTTAAATTATACCCATGTTTAACTATGAGACATGATTAAGACTTGATTCATCAAAATGACGTTATATTGTAACAATGTGTTTCTTGCTTTTAAAATAAAAGGCGAAATTTGAAACGAGGTCAAAACTATAGAAATAAAATGTTAATAACGTTATGATATAAAAAATATATTATTGGGTTTGAAAAGAGGCCGAAAAAATATAGAAAAAAAAATTGTTATAATTGTCTTTATAAATCCTGGACAATTAAAAAATTTTTGGTAGTCGACTCAAAATTTACCAAGTTAAAATTTTTATGTTACTAATATCAACCGACATTAGAAACTTATCGACTCGTTTATCGGTCAATATCCCTGAATTTATGAAATCAGTTGCAAGAACATTATAATGTAAAAAAAAAAAAAAAAATTTAAAATTGAGTTTGAAAAAAGACTGAGCGGAGCGATATTTATATTTAAAAAAAAATCTAAAATTAATTAACTTTAGTTTTATGTGTTGTGTTCTGTTTCGTCGAATTTTAGAATCTCAAAAAATTTCTTAAAACATATCAATAATTGGTATTTTATCGCCTGCTAAATATTCTGAAAATCTTCTTCAATATTACTATTATCGCTATTATCATCGGCAAAAATATTATCATATTTTGTATTTTCATGCAATAACGCCCATAAGTGTTTATTCGAATTTTTATCTAATTATTTGTAATCGGAAGGCAAAGCCGCTCACATGTGCAATCTCCAGCTGGTTAAATTAATTTTATCAAGAGTTTCGTCAATCATCAGGAGTTTCGTCAATCGACAAAGTATCGTCAGACGAAACCATTGACGAAACCATTTCATCATTACAAAAATAATTTCGTTAGACAAATACTTTACTGTCTCGTTAAAGGAAACTTTACTGTCTCGTTAAGGTAGCTTATTATTAAAGCATGCTTTTTCCATCATGATCAATAAGGAAGTGACAGTAAAACGCTATCAAGGAAAAAAAAACAAGTATTTGACAATATAAATGCTGATGACCTAAAATTGTAGGAGGTAGAAATGCCTAATAATACCGATTTACTGGTATACTCTACACCTCCCAACCCAAGAAATGAAAGATTATTTATCTGACACTCGCCTGAAGAAGCATATCCATCCTATAACCAAGAAACCCATTTCACTGTCACTCTCAATTAGGAAGTCTCAAATGTGAGAGAAATATTTTCTAATTTCATTAAGAATTTAAATATGGTGTGTAAATGGTAAATGTTTATTTAGATTTTTTATTAACTTATGACTATGTTGTAGGCAGACCAATTTAATTCTGTGGTTTACATTACCCCCTTTTGCCTTTATCCCCACCCTCTTAGCGCTAGTAAAAAAAAAATTTTGTGATATACATATATAGGTTTGAGAAAATGAACATAAAAGACAAGCAAGGTCAGGCCATATTTTCCGATTGAAAAAATTCTAATAAAATTTACTACATATACATTATTATTTTTTTCACCCCTTCCTTCTTTTTTGAAAAAGGAATGCAAGGTCCAGCCTAATCGCTAATGCAAAGGCAGTAAATGGATTGTAGTAGATCGTAAATACCGACAAAGCAACTCTTGATGATCTAAAGAATGAAATAAAGGACAGAAAATTATCACCAATATTAGAGAAATTAAAGTAACAACAGCAAATAAATGAAAATAATTTTCCAAAAATGATCAATATTCTCACCTTATGCAGAGTTCTTAAAGATGACCTCTCACGGGAATACTTTGGCATATTATAGAAGAACTAAAAGCTCGTTTTATGTCCGCTTCAATTCACATAAGTGATGCATCAAAAACATATGTATTGTCGTACATAGGGTTCGTATGGGCTAGGCTGGGCCGGGTATTTCAAAATCCAGATCCAGCCCATATTTAATTGGATAGATCCAAGCCCAACCATGACCAAAGAGTAAAATCCATGGATCCAAATAGCACTGTAAACAGCCTAGTTTTAAATTAAGTTTGGATTCGTAATTTTGACATCATATGATCAGATGACATCTATAATTTGGCCAATCAAATTAACTATGGACTATCCATGGGTTTTTGGATCTGGACAAAATTATCCATTGTCAAAAATTTTGGACTAAGCCCGGCTCATATTGGACCAGCCCATGGATGCTCCATGGATAGTCAGTATCTTTTTTCCGATGGAAAATTATATGAGCATGTTTGAGTTTCCATCAGAAAAAACATCACATGACGAATGGGAATGGGCTGTTGATTTTTGCAATAGATTTGCTCCGAACTTCAAAAAAGTCTAGCACAAAGACTTTATAAAGGCGCTGCACAAAACACTGTTCAGACTGAATCAGCTTTGTCAAATCACAAACGTAAGGTCAGTAAGGTGAAGATAGATTTGTGAACAATATGCACAGAATTGTTAAAAGATGCTAAAAATTGGATGATGATCACAAAAATTCTGAGTTTTAAGCCGATGCATGTTGAGTATGATGATGTTATGTTGTGTAAGTGACATGGGGTTAATAGGTACCCTTGGAATTCGTGGTGCCGGGATAGTGATGCCTGACGAAACCATGTGATGCTAATTGTCACATGCCATTACTTATAAAAAAAACTAAATAGATTGTTGATTTTTATATATTGTACCACGTGACAATTAGCATCACATGGTTTCGTCAGGCATCACTATGCCGGGAATAGGATCAGGTTCGTGTAACATGATCCGTTGCATAGATTGCATTGCATAATCTAATGGATAATTATTTATCCGACGATAATATTGCGATCTCTAATTAAGTTTAGCTTTAGGAATAAACAGTTCTAAGTGAACCAAGGGACTAAACGTTCGTGTACGTGTCTAATAAGGTGGGAGACTTGGTACGATATACCAGTCAAGTGAAACTCAAGCCAAGAGAGCAATCTCTTAGTGAACTCAAACTATGATATAGAGGCGCGTACTATACGACAGTAAGTCGAAAGATTTCATGGTACGTCTCTTTGCTATTGAATGAGGTATAGAAACCAGCAGAAGATTTACTGAATGAAATAACACAGAGAAAAAGGGAAAGGCGGTTAGATGAAAGCATAGAATAAATTATCGGCAATATATTTTGCTTGATGAAATTCACGCTTGATTATGAATGTTGTATAAATACTTATAAACCTATTTTTTGAAATTATTTGATTTAATATATATAAATTATTCATGTTAATACAAAATAATGTTTTCTGTACGATACTTAAATTAAAAATTCGACATATTTTGGACGTTGAATTATTATCAAGACTTTAAAGAATTTTCCGATCGGCATTTGTTTACAAACAAAAAAAAGAAATACAGTATTCTGTTACGCTTTGTCGAATTAGCTTGTAAAAATAGAAACATTCTGTTACACTTTTATTCAATCTCGTGTGCGCTTTTATTGGATAATTTTTCAATTAAATAATTGACAACTACAGATATAAAACTGATAACTCGTATTCAAATCGAAATCATTCCGAATAACGATAATATATTAAAAATCGCCCATGAATATAATTAATATTGTTGATAATAATAATTTGTCAACTTCACGCAAAAAAAATAAAATTACTAGGAAAAGAAATCCTTTAATTAGAAAGTGCAATAAATGTAAGAGGTCAAGATCTCATAAAGATGAGAATGCTCAGCAATGTAATTTTTGTGATCAAATAATTTTAAGCGGAAATGAATTCATAGATGATTTGCTTATTAAACTAAATAAAAAAAGCGTTTCTATAGAATTTATTCCATACGAACAATTTAGTAATATTACTTATCTTGCTAAAGGAGGATTTAGTGAAATATATAAAGCGACATGTTCTCAGGGCATAAAAGGTCGTTGGAATAGTTGGAAGCAAGAGTTTAAGATTAATAATGATAGTACAACAGTTGTACTCGAAAGTTTGAATGATTCGCAAATTATAAGTAATGATTTTTTAAATGAGGTTTGAATTGTTACAACTATATCATTCCCATAACTTATTACTAATAAATTTTATTTGTTAACTTATTTTATTATTTCAGCTAAAAAATTATTTTCAATGTTCAGATCCTTATAATAGATATATACGCCGATATTATGGTATCACACAGCATCCCGAAACAAAAAATTATATGATTGTGATGGCCTTTGCACCAGACGGTGATTTGCATAATTATATCT